CCCTCGTGCCCGCCCCCTCGCGTTACGACGCGGCAACCGGGCCGCTTTACGGCAGCGCGCGGCAACCGAGAGGCGGCGGCGGGCGATGAGGCGGAGGGTGAGACCCGGGGGGACACGGGGAGGGGGGACACGGTGCCCGTCAGGTGCCCTGCCCGGCGATCGCGCTGGCCGCAGCCGTCAGAGATCGGTGCCGGTCGCCCCCGGGCCCGGAGGCGTCAACGTGAGTTAGAGGGGAAAAAGGTTCGAATGGGTAAAAATGGAGGGGTGTTACCGGCACGGGGCGGGGCGTACACGGGCTGCCCGGTGCTGGTGGGGGGGTCCCCAGCAGGGCCCTGACCCCACGCCCGGCCCGGGGGAACCCTCCGCTCGCCGCGTAATTCCCGTTTATTCCCATCGAAGCGGTGGGATAACTGAGCGCTTCCCGGGGGCTGCTGGTGCGCTCTGATCTCGGGACTGAGCGCCGGGAGACGATCAGGGTCAGGCTCGGGATCAGGGTCAGGCTCAGGGTTGTGCTCGGGGTCACGCTCGGGGTCAGGCTCAGGGTCAGGCACGTCGCTCCTCCTCTCACGGGGTGTGTGACACCCCAGATCCCTCCCTCTGACCGAATTCCCTCTCCTGACCAAATTCCTGTGACATCCAGGTCTTTCAGGCAAACAGTATTCCCCCTGCTCCCTGGACTGACCCCTTCTCTGGAGGTGAGTGCATTGGTGGCTGGTTTGACATGGGCTGGGTGAGCTGAGCTCTTTCCACCGGTACCTCCGGGACATTCCCGGTGCCATTGATCATCCTCAGCCGTTCCTTTCCTTGGGTCTGTTCCTGGTAAACTCCAGGCTTTGGCCAACCCCGTCCTGTCGTTGCTGTGGCTCTTGGTTTCTTGCTCCAGGAGATTCTGTGACACCAAGAGAGGTTGTGAGTTTGGTTCTCCGAGCAGCTGCATGTCTCTCATTTGGGGAATTTGTCTGGAATGGAGAGGTTTGGGCATTGTGTGTACATAATTGGGAATGTCTTCCTCTGATTTCGGCATTCAGGACCTGTTGAACCCCCAGAGACTCTGTCCTGGTACTGTACAGGAATTATAACCCACAGCTACAGAGATTGATTATATTTAACAAAAAAAGAGACAACTGTGCTTCTTGTCTGGTTTAGTTATTTAATTTTCCTTGAGTTTGTTCTCTGGCTCTGTCAGGAGTCACAAAAATCCAGAGGCTCAGGTGTCACCCAGCCCAGCTCCCACTGGAAATAGAAATAGATGTTCCTTCTCTAATCTCACTCCCATTAACAACAACTCTCAAGACATGGTGTCTAAAACCTGTATTTCCAGGAAAAGGGAATGGTGTGGTGGTTAAATCGTGTGGCCTTTTACTCCTGATCTTTGTCCCTCCCGTTCCCTGGTAAAGTCTGGATTTTTTTATCTTCCAGGTGATTTTTGGTATTTACCTCCATATTCTTTAAATTGGGAACAGGACTCTGGTGATGTGTCACCTTAAACTATTCCCTCTGCAAGTTCTTAGCACCTTTAATTTACTAAAATAGACTTTAGGAATCTGACTCATCCTGAATTTATGCTCTCTTTGCTCCACCACTGCCTATTTACGCTCAGTTACTGGGGAGTCTCATTCCCTGGCCCTCAAGTGCCTTCAGCAATTACCTGCAGAGGGTTGTTGTATTTAATGGTGTGAAAATAACAGGTTTGGGGTGGGTTTTTGTCAAGTATTGGAAAACACAGGCTTGGCTTTGCCTCCTGGACCCAGAGGAGCCCCATCAGTTCTCAGATCGAACTCACACCAGCGATGGCAGCTTATTTGTGAAATTACGACTTCCATGAGGGAAACTTGACTTCTTGCCCTACTGAGGCAAGACAGCACCATTTTCAAATCTATAAATGAAATTATGGCATTTGTGTTGAAATGCCCCTTTCTCTCACCCCGATGTTCTCATCTCAGCACTGGAAATGGGGCAGCTGAAATCCCTCGGAGGAGCTGAGGATTCCAGAGAGTTTGCACAAATCCCAGCTACTAATGTGCAAATTATACAAACCAGCAAGACTCTTGTTGGCACCTACAGCAAAGGTTCCTGGCCTGTGTATTTATCCCTGTTTTTACAAAAACTCCTGAACAGAGTGTGCCTGGGCCTTCAGGAAGCAAGTCCTGGCTGTGGCTGAGCAGAGCTGCTCCCAGTCCACGATGGGATTTCAACCCCCCCTCGGCATCAGAGAGGCTCGGCTCCACATCCTGGCTTCTCTGCAGCTCCATCTTTAGCTTTAATGGGAGGTTCTCCCAAACAAAGCCACCTCTCCATGGCTTTTGACAGCCCCACCAGCTGTTGTTCCAGCCACTCACCTGCCCCGGCTCTGACGGGCGTCGGAGCCTCCCGAGGGTTTTCCTTGGAGCTGCATGTGGTGAGTCATCCTGAAGAACCCACAGGCAGTTTCACAAATACCAGATGGCAATAAAATTAAAAGTAGTAGCTCGTGGCAATTAAGCACTTGCTAGAACCATTCTCCTTCCTGACTGGAGGAACCTGCCAAATCTCTTGACAGGAAAAAAAAACAAAACACCCAACGATGTTTCTGCAGAGTGGAAAATGAACAGAACACGGGACTCACACTTCCCTCACCCCTAATCCTGTTTGGACTGAGTGGAAAGCTATCTGCTGGACTTCTACATTTCCAGGAAAAGATGAAGCAGAAAGAACGCGTTGTAAAGGAGAATTCGGGGCATTTTATGGGCACATGTAAAAGTATTTCAGCCTTGCCCCTGTTAAACCCCCAAACTGGATGTTTGGAGGATGTCCAGCTCTAAAGCAGACCATGTTGAGGGATGCTACAAAGTTACTGGGATTTCATTCTGATTTTCTGTTTTTATAGTGCAAGGATTTGCACCACGAACTTGGAAACAGTTGGAGCTCGTTAGGTCGGAAGCGTGTCCAAATACCATTGTGTTGGCTCAGCATAAACAAGGGCTGCTCCCTTCCTCTGGTGACTCCTGCTGCTCGGCATCTCCGGGATCCACCGGTACACACACACACACACACACACACACACTCTCTCTCACGGGCTGTGTCATGCCCCAAACACTCACCTCGGCCCTTCCTTCCGCCGTGTTCCACAGGCCTCATGTCTCATCCATTCTGTTCCTTACTCGTCACATGCCCTGGGACCTGGCCAAGAGTTCTGAGAGATGAATCCCTAATTTATGCATCCCAGGCCAGGAGAGGTTATTTTTCGTGATTCTGATCTAATTCTTCCTAACACGTAAACAACAAAACACTCCATTTTTTTAATTTCCGTCTGTCACGATGGAAAATTAGTGACTTATTTCTAGTGAATCACATTAAAGTGACCTTATCGTTTTGAGCTTTCACATGGGGCTTTCAGAAATCTGAAGATGTTTTCATGCTGCCTTTGGCGCAGCTGAGGGAAGGGTGAGGCCCAATCAGTTCCACGTCACCGCTGTCCCCAGATGTGGCATTACCAGCCCCATCCTGGCCAGGAGAGCAGTGAGGGGCTGAGGGTGCATTGCCACAGCTGAGGAGCCTGGGAGGGCTGGGGGATGTCAGAGCATAAGGAGAACCAGGGTGGACAGAGGGGGGTTAAGGCAAGTTTCTCTTTGGAAGATCTCCTCCTAAATCCTAATCTGAGTAGGCAGAGTTGTCCTAAAGATTCCCACGGTCAGGAACTGGTTGGTTTGTGATCTTGTTTTGCTTTGTTACTCCTTACTCATGGCTGTGCCTCCCGTGCTGGTGGCCCAGCAGGTTCTCCTGGAAGAGGTCGTGCGTCTGGCAGAGAGCTGGGGCACTCTATGCTCGGTGAGAGGGGCCGTATGTCAGACAGCCCCAAAAAGGCTTTATTTAGGGAATACCAGTCATGTAAAGAATTCCCGTGACTGTCACTGTCCAGGTGAAACACCCGAACACACAAACACCATCTGACTTCTCCTGGCTCAGGTCTGTTTTCTGTGCAGAGGTGTGTGTGTGTTCCCAAGCAGGAACTGCTGTGAAATTCCTTTGCTTTGAGGTTCAGTGAAAGGCTGATCTAACCTAGAGCTCAGAAGAGCCTGGCTCAGCCTGACACTCCCCTGTCTGCTGATGATCCTTCAAATATCTGTCTGGGAATCCCGGGCTCTGGCTCGCTGCTGCTGAGAAGGCACTCAAGCTTTCTTGAGCTGTATTGTGTCCCAGGTGTGACCCAGTTCCTAAACTCCTCTTGCCCTTCTCTGTTCCAGCTCTGGCGGGTCCCCGGAGTGCCGCAGGATGGATCCCGTGGTGCTCAGCTACATGGACAGCCTGCTGAGGCAGTCGGACGTGGCCCTGCTGGAGCCTCCAAACTGGCTCAACGACCACATCATCGGCTTTGCCTTCGAGTACTTCGCCAACGAGCAGTTCCAGGAGTTCAGCCACCGCGTGTGTTTCATCGGCCCCGAGGTCGCCCAGTTCATCAAGTGTGCCCTCAGCCAGGAAGAAATAGCCGTGTTCCTCCAGCCGCTGGACCTTCTCCACAAGGAGCTGGTGTTCCTGCCCATCAATGACAACTCCAGCCAGGCCGCTGGGGGCACCCACTGGAGCTTACTGGTGTATTTCAGGGACAAGAAGTGCTTCGCCCACTACGATTCCCACAGTAAGTGCAACTCTGCCCATGCCAGGCAGGTGGCAGGGAAGCTGGAGGCCTTTTTGGGCAAAAGAGGGGGCAAAGCCACCTTTGTGGAGGAGAAAGCGCCGGCGCAGCAGAACAGCTACGACTGCGGGATGTACGTGATCTGCAACGCCGAGGCCCTGTGCCACGGGTACTGCCAGGGCCGGCCCGAGCCGGGGCTGCAGCTCCTCACCCCCTCCTACATCACGCAGAAGAGATCCGAGTGGAAAGCTCTCATCACAAAACTGGCACAGAAGTGATGGGGGTGCACCCCCAGCCCCCCCAAAAACTGCCTGCCCTGTCCTCGAGGCAGCAACCCCAGTGCCTGAGGGAGATGCCCATGCGCAGGATTGTCCCAAAGAAGAAGAATGTAACCCCTCCAGCATGGCTACACCCCCCAAACACCCCGTTCCCTGTGGGAAAAGCCTTAGTCCCCTCTGGAAATCACCGGCCTTTCTAACGACAAAAGTCACTTTGCTTTCAAAGAAACCCTCTCGATGATGAATTTTTACACTAATTGCTGTGGCAAAACAGGTTGCTGGACAGACTTCACCTGTGCCCAGCAGGCAGCACACCCTCGTTAGGTGGCTTTAATTGGCTCCAGGCATTGTCCTTCCAAGCCAGGTTTAGCAAATGCCCTTTAAACCCAAGCCCCCAAGTGCTTTATCATGGCTATTTCTAGTCTGTGCCTCCCACTAGTGGTGTTGGAGCAGTCTGGGATTTAGCAGCCAGGATTTTGTGCCCCTGAAAACCTGACACTGAGATGTCAAAAGATGAGACTCCAAAGGAAATGCTAGGATTAATTAAAGAACAGGGCAAAACCAAAGTCAGTTTTCTTCAGCCTGGTGCTCCCAGGCTGCCCAGCAATTGCATTTTTTTTTGTCCCCCACCCCTGCTTGCTCTTATTGCAAATTAAAACCCGACTCTGAATGGCTGGAAGATTAACAGGAAGCTGAGAAACCCAATCTTAGGAAAGGAAACTTAATTGAGATGAAAAGCAACACTCACTCTTTGAAGCTTGGGGTTTTTCATTAGGATTTTAGGTCGTCTCCATCCAGGGAGGGTTTGTCAGTGCTCCCCAACCCTCGTTAGTGTTGCTGCTGCCTCTAAGACAAAACCAGTTCTATTACTTGAGATAAAAACCCCCACATCAGGGAGAACAAAAGGACAGAGTTTGAGCTTTCTCAAGGTATAAAAGCCAAAGATAACTGTGGGCTCCTTGAAGTCCTTAATGCACTTCAAACCGAAACACTTCCCCTCCCGTGCTGGGTGACGGGATCTTGGAGTGGATCCTCTCGTTAAAGCCAAGCTTAGCAGGGGGGAAAATAAAAATTGAACTGAGATGTCATTGCAGGATAAGGAATAATCTCTTAGTTAGTAAGAAGCAAAGAGCAGGTTGCTCAGGTGGTGTCTGGCAGAGCAACCACACCCCAGTGCGCCGACCTGATCAGGGAGATCCGGGTTAAATATAACCCTTGGAAAAGGAAAGGGGGAAGGATTGTTTTTAACCCGGAGCTCCTCACCAGCCCAGCCCCACTGGTGTGTGCAGCAGCACAGCACCGAGGGGATGAAGGGCTTAACCTTCCCTTGCTGCCAAGAGAAAAACAAGAAACCAGCCCAGGCTCCCTCAAAACACCCAAACAGACCCTCACAGGCAGCAGTGAGGCCAGACAAGGGTCGGGATCATTCCCCTCCCTCCTACACTGCCCTGACAGGAGAGCAGCCGGTGGTCCAGGGCATCCCTCCAGCACCAGCCCTCCCTGGAAAACCTGCTCAGCTGGAGCTCAAATGGGATCGAGCCGCTGGCCGAAGGGGATTCACCTTGGACTCCGAGGGGCTGTGCTGGAGCCACGTCACTGCCACTCCCAAATCCAGAATAAAACTCAGACCAAACCGTGCGTTTGCCAGAGTCATCCCATCCTCTGTGCAGGTCCCTGCTAATGCCATGGCTCCTGCTGCCCCATGGAGTGTCACAGCACAGGGGCTGTGACTCGGGGTCTGGCAGCGGCTTCTCAGCCAGTTGAATCTCCCAGTCCCATTTTTAGGGGTTGGTTTGGGCTGGGGAGGAGCACAGGACAAGGGGAGGGAGGAAGGCAGGATGGTGGGGGTGACTGGGGAGATCTGGGAGGGGATTTGAGGGCGGGGGGGGGGTGTCCAGCACCACCCTGTGCTCCTCAGCCTTGTTCCCAAGCCAGCAAGGTGAGTGCCCAGGGACATTCCCTGCATCTGAGGCTTTTATGTGCCTTTTCTTTACACAAAGAAAACAAAGAGGCTCAAGCAGGGCATCACTGGGAGAGGTGACACACACCAATCGGGTGGCAGAGACCACCTGGGAAACAAAACTGGAGCCTTGCCACCAGTGACCAGCAGCAGAGACCCCCCACACCACACCAGGAGCTCATCCTGGTACTCCTCCAAGCCTCCTCCATGTCACTGCACCCATGGGTTAGAGCTCTTTGTCACCACTGTCACATTCCTGGCTCGAGGACAAGGGACCCCACACACCAGGCTGGAACACCGGACCAAAACCCACCCAGTCCTCAACCTCTAAGCCTCTGCTTTGGGGTCAAGAGCCCTACTTTGAGGATGAACCCATTGAGCACCAATCCCAAACCCATCTGGGCTGCGGCACCAGGAAAACCAGCTGGGTGAGTCCCTGGCAGGGGCGGGACGGTGCCTTTTACCCACCAGGTCACCCACAGAAACAAGGACTCCGACAGCCCCATAAATCCAGAGCTTTGAAGAAACCAGATCACCCCCCCTCAGCACCCCAGTGTGCTAAATCCTCCAAAAATGAGTGATACCACCCCAATCCTTGCTTAGCCAACACCACTGTGGCTTTCAAGTTGGGCCATTTTCATGCATTTCCCCCATTTACCTGCATGGGCTGGGCTGGGAGAGGGGTTGTGGATGCTCAAGGAGGAAGAGGAGGAAGGCTCATCCTGTCCACCCTACGGATGAGGTTGCAGCCCAGCTCCCTCCCCAGGCAGACGCTGTCCCCAAGGTGGCCCTGCCACTGGCTCGTGTCCCATCCCGCAGTCTCTGCTGCCACCTAGTGTAATAACAATCCCTGTCCCCTGTGCCGGGAGCATCCCCAGCCCTGAGAGGACCACTCGAGGATAGGGCTGTCCCCACGTCACCCATGTCCCGAAGGGGCTCTGGGACAGCACAGATGTTGGGATACCTCGTTTTAGGGCTCACAGCCCATCCCCACTGTGAGGACACTGCTGGCAGAGAGCCACGTGCTAGAAAATCCTGGGTTTATTTTCATTTTCATTTCATTTAAAAGCCGTTCGGAGCCCAGAGCGAGCAGCAAACTCTCCCCCAGGGCACAGGGATTTGGCCCCATCAGCACTTGTAGTTCCCAAAAAACAGTAAAGAAAACCCAAAGGAATCACACAGGTATCACCTGCCGCCCCAGTGTGCTCCCAGGGGGAGGCTGTGGGACAAATCCTGAGGGACAAATCCTGCAGCACTCAGCTCCACGTGGTGACAAGGTTAACACGAACCAGGGCCCAGATCCGGGTCGTTCACCGGTGCCAGCCACGGGCTCCTTTCCAGACATCTTAACGAGGCGAGCGGGACTAACGAAGCCTTGGTCTGGCCCCAGTGTCAGGGGTGGTCACCCAGTCTGGGGGACCCTAAAGTGCTTTGCAGGGGACACACAACCCCCTCCCATGCTGAGATGGCCCAGTGCTCCACGAAAGAAAGGCTGGGGGGCCCTGGATTGGACCCTCACCCTTGGGTGTGGGATAGATGATGCCCCACAGGGCTGGCGGCCCCTTTCTCCCATCCCCACAGATCCCTGTATCTGGGGCCATTTGGGCACATTCCCAGGGGTACTGAGACAGGGACAAAGAGGTGGGTTCACCCAGGGCAGCAACAGCAACTCATCCACATTTTTGGGGGTTCCTGGGGAGCCTAAGGTCGTCTTTCAACTAGAAAAAACCCAAGCCTGGAATAAAAACTGGCGTCCATTTTAGCAGCAAGTCCTAAGGGGAGGTCCAAGCGCTCAGCAGCCCCGAGCCATCGTTCAGTGCTACGGCACAGCAGCGTCCCAGGGAGAAAACGGGTTTCCAGTGGGATGGGGAGTTGGCACGGTGGCCAGGAGCTGGCTGGGAAGTCCTGCCAGGAGCAAGTTCCCATAAGAAAAGAGAAAATACTTGGTCCCATTTTACCGGCCGAGGGAAAGCCGGGCCACGTGTAACAGTCACGGCTGGGAGGTCTCAGCACCGGGATCCACAGGCAGGGTGTCACCGTTGGAGTCCGTCCTCAGCCAGCGCCAGGGTAACAGTCACCTGCCAGCAGGGAGTGGGGTGAGATGGGGCAGTGACTGCAGAGGCTCCATAACCCATCCCGGTGCTTCCCCCATGTCCCTAACCCAAGGAGATCCCACCCTGTCCATCCCTTGCTGATGCCCTTGGTCTCATTAGCCCCAGAGCACAGCCCAGCTCCAATGAGATATCCTGATGCTCCTAGGACTGGAGAGCCCTAAACCCATGAGGAAACTTCTTCCCAAGGTTCAAAGTCTCAGAGACAGCAGAGCTTCCCACAGTCGCTCAGACCAGCAGTTGACATGGGGATGGCACTGTGGGGTCTGTCAGGCATGGGATAACGGACGAAGCATCCCAGGGACCTGTCGTGGAGCTCAGCCACTGCTCATTGCACCACATCCCTTGTGTCCTCCGTACAGCATGACCCACCCGCCCCAAAGTGTCCCCAGGGATCCCTCACCTCCTGTGCCCACGGGAGAGGTAGTCCCGGTTCAGGGAGCAGAGCTGCTGCTCCAGACGGAAGATGCGGAACGCCAGGTACGAGGAGGACACGACCAGGAGGCAGATGCTGGGAGCAGAGGAACAAGCCAAGCGCTCAGCTGAGACCGACATTCCCGGTGTACCCCCGGCCCCCCCGCGCCACCCTCGGCACTTACAGCACAATGAAGATCTTCAGGAGCTGGTAGTCGGAAGGTCTCAGCTCCGCCACACAGCTCTGCTCCACCTCCAGCTCCTCCTCGGTGTTTATTGCACTTTCTGAAAGGCAAACCCACAGTCAGCAGCACAGCAACGCTCGGCAGACGCTCCTGCTCTCCAGCAACCAGGAAACATCAAACATTTCTCCCTCATGGGCTCAGACCCCACAGCCAGGAGACCCCATCCCATCCCCAGGACCCCATCACTGAATCCCAGCCTCAGCCCTGCTCCTCTGCAAGGCAGAATTCCCCTCCAGAAGGGCGGAGGATGGATGAACACATATTTATAGAGGTTTACACCCAGCACCACGTATAGAACAGGGCACAAACCCGTGTGCCCAGGTCAGATGCTGCCCTCACCTGAAACCAGGGGCTCCTCGGAGGTGAAGGAGCTCTCCTTGGCACTCAGGCTGCTGACAGAGGTCCGGTGGATGCACTGGTAGTTGGCATCTGGCAGTGACAGTGACAGTGAGGTGGGTGACACCTTCCTCCACTTGCCCTCGGGGACAATCACCTCCTGTGGGAACAGCCCCGCTGAGCCATGCACTGCCAGAGGGTTCTCCCATGGCACTGCCAAGGATTCAGACTCAAACTTTATGGCAACTCCAGTGAGCACCAGCACATCCAAACCATCGTCCTAAGTGGGAGCTGGTTCTCTGTGATGGCTCCATGGGGATGCGGGTTCCTATTGCCATAGAGGGACCTGCCCATGCACCCCACACCTGCCCCAAATACCAACTGCAGCCTCCTCCACCCTTGAAACTCAGGGCGGTCACCCAGCATTCTCCATTTCTCCACCTGGCATTGCCCCAGAAGGGCAGAACATGCCCCAAAAAAGCACCAAATCATGTGCAGAGGCAGCCAGCACAAAGAGGGGGTCCCACACCAAAGAGTCCCCAGTGCTGGAGCTGCTGAAACACCAGGTCATGCTGCAAGCCTGGATCACTCCCAATTCAGCCCTTGAAATGAATCTTTAACCCCTGGGATGCCACCAGACCAACAAAACATTGGGGTCATCCCACCTGTCACCTCCTGCACCGAGCTCAGGGCCACCAGACCTGAGTTCACCCTGCTCCAAAGGTGCAGGATGCAGCCACTGTGCTCACTGGATCACACCATGGTTTGGCTACAAGCCATCCCACAGGTTTCTGGATAACTCAACCACATTCCCAGCCTGTCATCCACGTTCATGGCCATGAACAGCATTGGCTGGCGGGAGCAGAGCTGCAGCATCTTCCACATCACTCTGAAGTTTTTCTGTCTATAAAGGGACCCCTGAGACCGACAGGCCAAGTCATCAGCTGTGCTCAGCCAGGTCCTCTTGACCCGTCTGTTCCTGCCAAGTGTGGGGATGAGGATCCCAGAGGATGAGCTCCAAAGGTGACAGGCACATCCTGGTGTGGCCTTTGATGGCACCGAGGGGGGAGAACCAACTCTGACCGTGTGAGCGGCCATTCAAACCGAGGGGGCCTGGAGGTACTTCCCACCCACATAACAAGTTCAGGAAGGTCTTTCCCTCTCCCAGAGCTGCCCTCACCCTCACCAGTGACACGGCGTCCGGCTCCTCCGACAGCTCCTTCAGACTCAAACTCTTCTTACTCGAAACCTGGAAGGGAGAGACAAATGGGTGTTATGGTGCTGCCTCCCCCTGCTTCAACCTGAGCCACAAAATGGAATTTTGGCTTTTCTGTTGAGTCTGTGAAGAGCAGCTGCTTAAAACTTGCGATCACAGGGATTTTGGGGTTGAAAAAGAGCACCTAGCAGAGGACAGGGCATTGCTGCTTCCCATCACTGAACACCCAGCAGGGCCGTGGTTGAGCTGGGGGTTCCTGCACTGGCCTCAGTTCACAGCACAGGGAATAAACCATCAGGGGAAAAAAAAAGGGAATATCTGGGCAGAGCCCAGCACATTCCAAAAAATAAA